CACGTCACGGGAGTGAATCCCGGCTGTGGCTGCCACATTTTCTATGGAGGTGAAAGTGCTAAAAGACTGAAGGACCTATAAATTTAGGTGCACGTTAAAAAACGCCAGGTCGTCAAAATTTTCGAGCCGTCCAGGCACGTAGCCAGAAACTTTTTTCGGGAGGGGGGACGGGGGGGGGGGGGTATCACCTTAATTTCGGGAGGGACAGCCTCTTAAATTTGTCTTTTTCTGCTCTCTGTGACATGGCGAAAAAAAAAATTCGGTGGCGGCACGTGCCCGGTGCGCCACCCCCTGGCTACGCCCCTATAGCCCTCCGTTACAGCGCCTCTCATAATTACATGGTGCTTATAGGAAATATAACCCAAACAGTTAAAGTTACGAAATCCAGTTTGACGTTGAGTTCCATGAAACGTTCACATAAACTACTAATCGTATACACGCATTTCATGTCAGCATAGAAGTACTTAGAGTACATTTCACAAAATCCATGTGTTTCTTCGAATCACATGAACGTATGAGATAAATAATTTAATAATAAGCTAACAAGTGTATCTACCGAATGTAAACGAAAAATACGACGTCGTTTAATGCATGCTCTGCAGTTCACATTAATGAGCACATTAAACGGGGCACTTGCCTTTTCCAATTTGATACAAAATTATAGATGTGTAGACCGTTGCTCTGAAGACTTTCTCGAAGCTTCAGGAGAAATAGTTTCTGTTTTCCTGTGTACGCCTGCCATTTGCGACAGCATCCGGCCTTCTGTGCTGTCGCAAAATTTCTGACCCAACAGCATCATGTCAACCACGGGTTCTTTGTTCTTTCACCCTGTAGTGTCCCCGGAAAAATCCTATTTCCTCCTGTTCGCTAAGTGCACCCTAGTTTTTGAAAAGCTCCAGTTAAGACCGTGTTACACGGGCACACTAGATTGGATTTTGTGCGTACGCGGCGCTTAGCAAGGGTGCTTAGTGTTAGGGCAGGGCAGGCTACACAAGGCGGGGAGGTAACGAGCTTTGCTCTTGGCTTTAACGAGCATGTTGCCGCTTCACCTCTCTTCGACGAGAGGCCAGAGGCGTCTTATTCAACGACCCCATTTTGTGTGACGCGCATGCGCGTCTCACCTGATGAAATTTTAGCGGCCACCTTTCACCGTAAGCTTTGAGGGTCGATGGGGAGACCGCACTTACATTACGGCGAAGGCAATGGTCCATCACGCACGCGACGTCGGTTGTTGGTGGGCCGTGGCGCATTATTCCCTATATCGACGCAATTATACGAATGCGTGCGTGTAGGCGAGCATGGTTGCCCCAGCTCTGCGCAAACATTTCCCTCCGATCGAGCCATTTCTGAGTGTCTCAATCGATGGACAACGTTGTCGACGGCGGGATATTTACCGTGGGAAGTGACGCGCGACGTATGGCTAACTGCGACACGACACTATGGCACATCATGACTAGGTTATTCGACTAAACAAAATGTTTCAGAATGTTCCCTTTTACAGAAGGCCATGGTACTTATAAGATATATTAAAGATGGATAAATCGTACGATTAATTGCTGCATGTATATCCTCTCTATACTGAAAGCGGAGTGACATTAATCATGTATGTATGTATGTATGTATGTATGTATGTATGTATGTATGTATGTATGTATGTATGTATGTATGTATGTATGTATGTATTGTACACTATAGGACTAGCAATATTTTGGTACGGTCTATTACAAGGTAATCAAGTCACTTCCACAGTAAAAGAAACAATAAAACCTCATATCATGGCAGGCAGAGTTACTGTTGGACTGATTCGAATAGGAGTCAGAAAATAAGCTAAACTTAACGAAGCCATCTAATCAGAGTGCTACAATTCTCGCCAAATAGAGGAGAAGCGATATTTATTCCGTGTAGGACTTTCTATTACTGAGCAGGCAATACCTTTTTGATTGAGGAAGAACATAAAAGAAGAGCACATTTTTCAGGCCTTTGCTTGGTCTTCAAACGACAGGTAAGTTGTGAGTAAAAAAAAAAGAAATGATAAATAATGCTCTTGCCGGTAGCTGAAGGTTGCCAGACTAATTCTGGAGTATTATTGGCAGCAACTCATTAGGAACGTTCAACATTGGATCACTTTTATTTGAAGTCATAGAGATAACGTCATCAATATTTATTGTAGCACCATTCCACCTTCAAGTATATAGTGAAATCTTGTTGGTGACGAACAGTGCAGTTTTACTTTAGTAGAGGCCCCTTTTTTTGTCTCGTGCACACGACAACACTTACTGTTAATCATTATTGGAGACTGGAATGCACCATGAGCATAAATGGCGAGCAGCGCCAGCACCACGCTCTAGCCACGCGTTTGTCTATACGTCGTATACGTGAAACTTTAATCCTTCTTTACAGTCACACCAAGAGTTAATTTTATCTGGAGTTTTAGGTCCCAAAACAGCGATATGAAATCACGATACGCCACGAGTTTGACTTGATGCGTACCAGTCCTCTGGCTGGGAGTTGATATGTGCGGGAATGGACCGGCACGACAAAAACATTGCATACTATGGGTAGTATCCATGCTTGCTTGCTATTGCACGAGGAAATAATTAAGCAAATAGGCTGGTAAGGGGCGGTGCATGCGTGCGTAAAGTGAATAGTCATAGTCAGAACGGCCACTGAAGAATAGTTATGTCAATCTGCGTTCTGAAATTGTTTAATAACTTTTCAATAACCGTTGAATTCGTTTCAGTGGCACCTGGTCGATGCGCTTAGAGAAAGATTCAAATGTCGCTTATGACAGTCCAGTGTGCGATCTTAGCGGCGTTGTGCAAACTAACAACAATGAATGTGAATAAGAGAAAATGAGAGAAACTCATTCAGAATGCAATGGACAGCCTTAAAGTTCTGCTGTATTTACCATATAACACACAATCATTTTCGTACAGACTACACGCAGGTGTCAGTTCAATATCAGTTTACTGTTTAGATAATTAATCGGTTACCGCCCTCGGCTGCCCAACACGCACAAGGCGTTTGCAAAATGTGTAATATTGAGAAACGTCGGTACGGCAATTTAAATAAGGGAAAACAACTTGCCTTTCATAGAAATCTCGTATTCTGGAATACTAAAATATTCTACCAGTGCAAACAACCTTTTTCTCATGCGGAACATATAAACAGATAAACGATAGTGTGCGGGCACTTTCGAGTACATACCAGTCACGTATATGCGTACCACAAATGAAATGTTTTTTTTACTTTATTTGGAGATCTGAAATTTCAGTTACACGACAGCTGTTGTTAAGCTCCACCTGGGCGGTGTTTACCCACGAAAACTTTGCGAAAGCAAGCAGTTCCCAACAAAGGGTGATATCAAACGTAGAGTGTCTTGTTCCCATTAATTTGGATAATTTGCCTTCTCACGTTCTTGGTAACGAGACGGGACATTCTAATCTTCGACAGGTTGACATTGTAGCGACATCCTCAACAGGTCTGTATGCGTCTGGCTTGAATTCTTACTTATATCTTAAATGCTTGAATAAACACTCGAACATTCTTCCGTTGTTTAAAATTTGTCAAGAGTACCGATATTTCCGAATAACTGAATTTTTCTCTCATTCATTTGAATTTAGGAACATTGAAAGAGTGAGACCTTCGAATAACAGTTGATTGAGCGGAAGGTTCACAATCCTCAGCAAAGGGACCCATGTGCGCAGCCGAACTGCATGCAAGATCTGAAGCAGTTTGCTGTTATGATATAAATAATAAACACAATGTTACTTATGTAACGCTAGGTAGTATTAACAGCGTGTTCATTGACGATGGGAGGTGATCTGTCCTGCGTTCCTTTCGTCGCACAATATCGCGCTGTTCAGTAACATTTTTTCTTAACACTTGACACCCACGGCCGTCGTCAATTTTCAGGTTTTGCCGAGCAGCGACTATTAGGTGCAGAAAGGGGCGATTTGTTCAAGCAACCTCATAATCAGATGAGTAGGTTTGCCACCTCCCCAGGAAGAGGTGGACCGGAGTCGAGTTGTACCAACTGTGAATTATTGAGGGAAACAAAACACGACTGTCATTGGTAAAGGACACCTCAATTGCGATGGGATTCTATCAGGCTCACGGCAAGATAAACAGTGAGACAGTGCATGGGCATCCCGCGGTTCAACAGCAAAAGAAGGTTTAGGGATGTGTGCTGTAGTGGAGGGGTGGGGGGGGGGGGGACGGTCGGCACGCTTGGGCAGGAAAATCGGTTGGGAGGGAGACAGGGGTGTCTCAATACAGGTCATGCGCGATTCTTCTCAGCACAGGCGGAAGTGGTCCAACTCGCCCAAGTCAAAGTGCTTTTGGATGGAATGTTTGCTCTTCGTATACCAATGGCTGTAAAAGGCGAAGTGCACGCACCCTTTCTTGTAAATGATTTGCTGTGCATGGTTAGAAAGGCTGAGCTAAGGCATAGGTTCGCTTTCGCTGTGGGGGGATATTTCAGCCCACGTTATCTAAAATAAGCGAAAAGTAGCACGGTGCATTCGCTTACGATTCTGTTAGTGGTATTCATCACGCCAGCTATTGGGCACTTTCATCGAGTGAGACGCATTCGCGCACAACCTTATGATCGTTCAGTTAGCACACGAACGCTTACTGCCGTATGTAAAAATACATCTACGGATCTTACCTTGCGTAGCTGCAACTCGTATACTTTGCCCTGCTGTCGCTGTTGAAGTGTTTCGCATTTCGGACGAAACTGACATTTTGAATTGTCGTTAGACATTTATTCCTACGAAATGCTTGTGCGCCCATTCGTTGCCTTCTTACCTGTACTTGGAACATTAAATGGTGTCGCTCATTAAAATACCTACCCAGTGTGAGTTCGACGTCTTATTTCACGCTAGACATTTTCGGGGTAATATACACACAGGCTCTAACACTCGACCTCCTATGGGAGGTTGCGTGCGAAAATGTGCGGCAAGCGCACCAAGAGTGAATAAGGGAGACAAACAGCTGCATATGATGTTTTATCATCACTATATTTTAATCCAACACGTTGTATTTTACTGTATTACACACGCAGTCTCTCACCGTCATGGTTGCCAAAGAACCAGGCGCGGTAGCGACTCGAAGAGGAAATAAAGAGTTCAGGACGCGAAATCAACAACTAAGACACGCAAAACAAAGCAATAAAATATTACAGAAGATTTTACATCCTATTTTGCGTGCAGCGTCGGAAATTCGCCATCCTGCTTTTTGTTCCTGTTTTGTTCTACGCAAACTGCACCATTCACTTTTTTTAAATATTTACAATCCGTTTGCACCATTGCCTTTGAATAAGTTACAGAGGGAAGTTCATTGTGCCTCCACGCCACCTCTTGTTAAAGCCATGCTTTCCTCTCCTTTCTTTATTTCATTTAGCAGCTCTAAATAATAACTTCGCGCGCCACTCACAGTAACGCACCACACTAGAATGAGAACAGTGCAACAGAAACGCCAATGCAAAAACGCCAAGCCCACGTGGGATGGTAGCTGCTCTAACTTTGTTTTGTGCACAGGAAGCGTTGACAAAATTAAAAAAAAAAACAGTTCGGCGCAAAGCGCCAACAACAACACATCAGAGCTGACTGAGTACAGAATTCGAAACGACAGACAAGTTGTCGTCTAATTCATCACACGAAATAGGCTCACATTTACATTCTTCAATAGTCGCATCAAAAATATCACCAGGCAAACGGGAAATGCAAAATCAGCGTGGTCGAAGCCACCGCAGAACTTTTTTTTTTCGCTCCCAGTACATACGTGTCACGCTCGAAAACAAATGTACATCCTTAAGTTCTAATAATAAATGAAATGTATTTAACTCTTCGTTACACACAATATGACCACCTTATAGGCTACAGAAGGTCTGCACGCTTCGAGTGTGACGGTAGCCACTCGCAAACATTTTTTTTCGAGGAAATAAGAAATGGTAAATGAGTATTATGACTGCTCGTTCCCAATATCCCGCGTACCTATTTAAATGTGTTCTCTATCGCATTTCTATGACGATGCCTTGGCTTGAAGTGCGCACACCTTCTCGTATACCAACGACGAGTCGAGTTTAACCATGCACCCGAGCAAACTTGTTTTACTGTTTTACTGGCTAAGTGCGTTGCTCGCACACTTTTACTCTATCGGTCCAACTCAGCCTTAGACAGCGAAGGGAGCCTCGTATGGCAGAACGAGCACACTACTTGCGTGCGTGTTGAATGACGTTTCGGCTATACTAGCAACTGCCACATTATCACTACATAAATGAACAAAGTCCTTGGCGTAGCTCGCGAAAGATCATTAGGAAATTATCTTTTAGTGAGCTCACATGACGACATAACCACCCGGTCCACATTCACTTCTCGATTTAAATCAAAAACACTCAAAAGAAAGTAAATTGCATACATCTAAACGGGAACCGGTATTTCACACAACTGAACGCAACAAGATAAATTTGTACCGCCCCAAACATCGCCTTACGGCATGCCGTCTCTCGTTGCACGATAGTAAACTTTAATACATCATCCCCATACTTCAGTTTTCGACATTAAATTAACTCGCAAATGCATCCTGTACCACCGGACATCTTTCAATGTGACGCTCCCGTTAAACCACGAAACTTGCGTCAGCCCGCACAGAGGTAAGTGCCGGGATTTGTTTCTGTCGATAATCTAACTTTACATAGCCACGTGGATATGTTTCCCGGATCTCCCACGTTCAGACAACTTCCACAAGGACGAGAAATGAAAATACAACAAAATAAATATTTCTAAGTAAAAAGAGAGTTCTGCTGTAGGGAGGATTTATCACTTTGGCTTTGAGAAACATTTGATAATTGCTGCAAAATGGTGGGGAGTGAAAACGTCTATGATCGCTTGTGCATCGTGACCCCTCGTAAGCATCCATTGTTTCCTGTCAATCATGCATTGTATCTGTATAGCCTGCACCCAAGTTGGCCTAAGACAGCCTAAAATAGCCTAAATAAAACACCGGACGTCATTTTATTATGATATGTTTCAAGTGGTGTCTCACTTCGCAAATCACAGCGTAGATTCCAAATCAACTTTATGCACTGTCATGTTTTGATTCCTTTCCACTTTCATTGTCATGCGCTAAGCTGAATTTTTTCATGAGACCGGAAAACTTTCGAATTAGACGCCAGTGCTTTTCAGTTAACGCCACCAGCCGCTGTTCCGAAGTATCCAGACGAGCATAAATGGCGTTAAAAAAACTTATTGGCTAGGATAAAAAATTAAGCTTTAAATATAAATAAATTAAATTTTAGGATTTAAAATGTGACAAATATTTCAACCACTTAACCGAATACTTGGGGGACAGTCACATTCGATCTCAAAATTTTCCCTGTCATTTCAACACAACTGTTCGATACGACAACCAGCCTTCCAAATGTTTTTCAACTAGGAGTACCTTTATCTATAGCAAAGCTGACAATTCAAAGCTATCGACAGGCAAAAATTTAACCATCTGCTGGCGAGAAACTGTGCCTCAGAGATTACGATAAATAGGACGCTAGCGTCAAAAAGAAAACAGTGATTGCAATGGAAAATTATGTGTGCCCACTCTGGACAAATAAAGGTACTAAACATGCAAAAAAATCATAATGTTGAAATTTGAAACAAATTCCTCCACACGAATACACACAACCACGCTAGCTGTGCAGTTTACAGCCATTTAAAGAGGCTCTTATTAACGACCAAATGCACAGAAAACACAAAATACTCCCGCTGATTCACATGCGCAATTATGAGCAAGATAGGATCAATACAGAGCTGGATACGATGTTCAGCGTGAGTTCATGAGCTAGTACAGCTTCTAACAAAGAACATTTGACAAAACTATACAAACGCTGCAGTGTGCTTGCAGGCGGCACAGGGTTTGTGTATTTGACTAAAAAATGCACCACGACTCTTGTGAATCCACAGGCCTGGTAGGGCAGCATTTCTTCAAAGAATACGACGTTAAAGGGATTCCTACGTTAGGGATACTTGAAGCCACTTCGGTCATTACAAAATACGCGAACATTCTAAAATATTGGCGCACTGGACCTTTCTTGACGTGCTTTAACAACAACAACAAAAGAAGAAAAAATCTGTCTGAATTCTAGTACACAAGAGCAGCAAGAGGGCGTGGGGGCGAGGCTCGTCGAGAGGATCTCTGCGTGAACGATGCGAGATGACATCAATGTAGGGTGAGGCGGCAGCAAACAAGACACGAGATATTTTCTCCTTCTCTCATAGTTTCTATGTACAATGGTGGGGAAGGGACGAAGGGGATGAAAGAGTTCCGCGCACTGTGTCCTCTCTTTCGCAGTGATGAGCGAGTGCTACAAACCATTCGTCTAAAAGCCAGCCAGTCCGCGTAGGTGCTACGCAGACTTTGCGTGACGTCCAGTGCCAGGATCGCAGGTGGCGCTGGGATCTTTCGGTTTGCTGTTCGGTGGCCAAGCGGTGCCCAGTGAGCGCGAAGTGATAACAAGTAAATGCCCCATGCTTTGAGTAGGAAGCTCGAGATGATGATAGTTCAGCACAAGGTCGGCGTGCTGTCCAAATTTTCACGAGTTGCACGCACGGCACAGCAGCCAGAGGAAGGGAGGTCTTCTAAGGTGCTCGCGCACATCATTGTGACGGCACAGTCTACATGCAGTGCTACGACGCTGGGACAGCGGCACGTACACACATACACACGCACACACACACACACTACGCGGGGAAAACACGGCGACGAAGTCCGAAGCGCTCATCCCTCGAGAGAAGCGTGTCCCTGGCGGCCCGGCGCGCGGAAGGCGGCGCTGCGACCGGCAGCAGTACGGAGCCGTCGCCGGGCGCTGTCTCATGAGGGGCTGGGCTGCGGCGCGCTCGCCTGGCTCGTCGACGGGCTGCTGCTGGTTGAGGCGACGGCGGCCGCGATGGCGGCAGCCGAGGAGCGCGCAGGCGCCAGTCGGCTCAGGTTGAAGGCACCCGAGGGTCCCGGCGGAGGAGGAGCGGCGGCCGGCTTCGGCAGCACCATGTCGGCGGCCGCAGAGAAGGCGGCGGCAGTTCGTAACCTGCTCAGCGACGCGGCCGTCGTCGAGTCCGTGAGGGGTGAGCCGGCCGACACCGGCGCCAGTCCCGCCGCTGGCGACATGATGGTTGGCACGCTGTACACAGTGGACAGGGGAAACGAGCCGCCACCCAGGCTGCCCAACGTACTGGCGTACCACGAGCTCGTCTTGTGGTACGGGGACAGATAATCGAGACGCGCCGAGCGCTGCAGCGACGCCATTCGCGCCGCCACTGCAGCTGCCGACGGCGCTCCCGGCGACAGCATGCTGTGGCTAGGGCTGCCGGACGTCGCCGTATCCACGATGGACCATATGCGAGGTTTCGGAGCTGAAGACACGTCGCTGTGGCCGTTGGGCGACGCTGCAGGTGTTCGCGCCGAAGACTCTGAGTCAGACAGCGAGGCATCCGACAAGTTGCCGCCGCCCTGCTGCAGACCATGCCGAGGTTCCTCGGAAGAATGCGACGTTCCGCTCGGCCGCCGCAGGTCGGTAAGGTCCGAGGACCGAGAGTCATCGTCCACGTCCACGAGATCTGCATAACGCCAAGCATTTTCTCTAGCTTAATTAAACTGAACGCCGACATGTTGAGTACGTATGAGACAACCGTTTCTTTACATTCTGTTTCCCAGTGAGCCTTAGTGCAATACACTGCCTTCCCAATGGTCCCTAAATGAACGCACTGGCATTCTCATTAGATTTAGGTTCCCATCGTAAAGCTTGCCTCCTTCGATCACGTTAACTCATAACAGCTTCTGGAACCCTCTTATCAAAGTCGATTGAATGTATTCGTAAACATAATGGTACGCAGACTTACTCATCCACTCATATCGTGTAACGTTACTGACGCCGAATCAATGCAGAGCGTTGGCGGACCGCAGCACCCACCCGGCATGCAACATAATGTGTGCTTGACAGAGGCAAACTGTGTAAACAAGCTGTTTGTAATTCGCTTAGAATCGGCATTCATGCAAGGGCAAGCACGTTTCTGCAAGTAAGGGGTCTGCTAACCGTCAGACTCATCCCGTGGCCTCTTGCGGCTTTCCGACAGACCCGCTGTGCCGGCCGCAGCCGCCATCAGCTGGTGGTTCCGGCGCGCCAGCTCCTCAGCCGCCCTGGCCGCGGCCTCCGACGAAGAGGTGGAATTCTCCTGGCGCGATGCGGCCGCCGATCCTTGGCCATCCTTGGAGTCGTGTCGCGCGGGCGGCGCGTCGTCTCCGTCCGCGTCGTCGTCGTCGTCGCATCGGTTCCTAGGCGACCAGGTCATCTTGTTCTCCTTTTTTAACCGGCGCCGGGCATTCGCGAACCAAGTGGACACCTGCCCAAAGGAAAGCGACTAGCCTCAGTATAAGAGGAATGTATTATAAGCATGCATAAAAAGCGTCAAAGTCTCACATTGCGTCGGCTAAATGTCCAACATGGATTAGCTATGAAGACCAGCAAAAAAGATTAAGTTTCGTTTTCTCGGCCATGTGACTTTTCTCTCTCTCTCTCCCTCTCTCTCTCTGTTTTTTTTTTTTTCATGCAAATTCGAGAGCACTGCTACTAGCGAACAATCGGAATGGCTGAAAATATAAATGAATGAAAATATCTAACAACACCCACGTGGAATTGTTAAATACAAACTGAAAAGAAGCGCGGAAAGTTGCTTCGACGGTCTACGATTTGCATCAGACCTTCCAACTACTCTTCTTGAACTGAATGTCCATGGAAATCTTATGAGTATACGTCAGTTCACATCATCGTACTATAGTAGGAAAGCTGCTCCGATCTTGCCACAGAATATCAATACATGCTTCATCTAAGTAAATCACAAAATACCCGCTTGCAGGTGTTTTTTTTTCTTTAAAAACTTGACTCCTACCTAACCTAACCGGAAAATCTAACGCAACAAAAAGGAATGATGATGTGATTGCCCATTTGGACACGAAAAATTGATCAAGAACGCACCTGCGTTAACGTCATCTTCGTGATGATGGCAAGCATAATCTTCTCGCCCTTCGTAGGGTAGGGGTTTTTTCGGTGCTCGTTTAGCCAGGCTTTGAGCGTACTCGTGGTCTCTCTGGTGGCGTTCTTGCGTCGGGCACCGTTGAGGTCCATGCCGTACCTGTAGACACAAAGACAAAAATAAAAATTGTAACATGAAAGACACTGGAAAGCGAAGCCACCGATTTCATAGCATCACCGGTGTTCACGTGTTATACTACAACACGCATATACGGCGACTACCGAATTGTTGAACCGAGCCTTGACCCGCTGAAACAAGAGCTGCATAAAACGAAAGCACGGAGTAAATCCTTAGAAAAGTTGACGATGTTTAACGACATGTGCATACGTGTGAGGAAACGAAACTGAGGAGGTTCATCTAACACCGAGCATTCTTTCCAAGCCCAGTATACAAAGAGTTTTACAAAATAAAGGTTTACCGTGTAATACAGACTTCTAAAGAACGTTTTCATATATCGAAACCAGGAGTAAAACAAGAAGAAGGAAATGAAAATCGTCGAACAAAGGGAGTCTCAAAGCCAGTGAAAAGCTGGCCTCCCACCACTCGGCATAAAGAGACGAGAGGCCGAAACCAGGCTGGCTGCCGCGTTGTATACAGGCGTGTACGACTGTCCACGACAGCGTTTCGATTTGCGGCGTCGTTCGGACCGCAATTCCCACAAGGCAGCACTGTCCCGAAAGTGAAAGCAGCACAAATGCACTCGAAGAAAAATAAATAAATTTATAAAGCTACGACGACCCCCAAGGCCCCTGCATGCGCCCCTCTTCTCGTGAGAAGGAGAAAAAATAAGTGAAAGTGGAAAGATCGATGCCGAACGAAACTTGGTTATAAACGCGCGCCAGCGCAATCCGCAATCCTACACAAAACAATGAGAGGGCTGGGAACGATCAGGGTGCCAATCGACGAGGCATATTAATCACGATTATCCCCATTCATTAGAAACGCGGGCGATTCCCATGGGCTACTTCATGCTGGGAAATGAATAGCGTTCCTCCCAGGAATCCATTGCCGCCACACCACCGTGGAGAGAGGATTGTTCATTAGCAGCTAGGGGAAACACAGCGCGCCTACTTAATTCAGAAAAATGAATCTGCGTTCGGTGTCGGCTGCTGTTTAGCAAATCTCGAACGGTAGTTCGCGGTCAGAATCGCGCTGCATATCTCGCCTGCATTGTATAACCGTGTGCGACAATACCCAGAAAGCTACAGCGTACATGCAATTCTTATTACTCGCGTACGATCTTGTGAAACCATTACAGCGTACCTATAGGGCGTGGAGCTAATGCGCATGGTACGGAACTGCAACACAAGCTCTTCGAGCCTTGGGCAAGAAAGTACCTTGGAGCTAAAAACAGTCAAGCTCAAGATAGCTTTTTTTTTTGTTGTTCCTGTAATTTTGGCAAGCATAAAGGCGTAACATGAGACGTCACGTAAATATCACAACCACCTGAGTGTAAATCGATAATGTTGCGAAGTGCCGCATCAAAATGCTTCGATGCTATTCTAGAGTAATAAGTGTTCTGCATTTTGGACCGTGCCACATTTTCCGCGCGTATCCACAGCGTTTATACTGCGCATGGCGACCGGCGGAGTCAAAAAGATCTGTGAAGGTATATCCCTGCAAATCCCGAGGTCTTCCTTTTCGTTTCCCGCGGTCGTATCAATATGCACTGAATAGTGTATTCATAGGTGAGCGATAAATAGCGCGTGTTTATGGGTACTGCGTACGAGCTTTATAAACAATAATGATCCACGAATAGGACTACACAAATCAGCAAGTGGGATAAGGGCAAAGGGAGTGGCAAGGAGGTCTTACAGACAAGAAGCATTGTTCATGCGATCCAAGTTGCTTAGAAGGTGCACTGACAGCATTCAAAATATTATCTTGGCGTTAGCGCATTGTGAAATGAAACAGGTACGCCTCCTCCAAATGCATAAAATTCGTATTTCACTGGCAGCTCACATCACGCAGATGCGGGCAGCTAAATTATAATGGGAACGTGCTTGACCATACAATACTACACATAAGGAACTGTCCATTGTACGAAGTCAACACGCATGGAAAAGAAAGAATTCATAGAAGTTCCTGTACTTTATTTTGAGCTGGAACTGCTGTTCATTGTCTCACCAAGAAAATATCGGCCAGCAAGCAAGCGCATATGTACTGTTCTGGGAGATTCACGGAGTTACAACACGCAGGTGCGTCTCGCATACATGCCAAACCCACCGACGTTCGTTGGTATTACGCTTGCCCCTCCTCAGACTAAGTAAGCTGTACATCTGCCTATAACAGCCATATCAATAAGGCCCCTCCACAATCGTCTCGTGCCAACTTTGCGTTCAATTTAGACATAAACAACCGAGCCAAACGTCGTTTTCCCTACACTCTAACGCCTAAAGGATAAATATTTATACCCTCTTGCCTCAGCCTATGAAGGCCCTCATGAAAGACTTTAGCGTTAACGCAAAAAAAAAAAAAAGATGCACACGACACAGATTTCATTCCATAGCCGACTCACTCGAAAAAAGAAGACGCGTTCGGTTGCGATCAAAGCGCAGTGAGCATTTTCGCTGACATGGCTGAAGGAGGTGCAACATACTGACACCCTTCGTGACTCAAAATTATGCCATGGTCCTGTTTTTTTCGGCCTGCCCAAGTCAACACCGGCACACCGCCAGATTGCTAAAGCCAATAGCTTCGCTGCCATGATCAACGTCATAGGAGAAGTAGAATGAGACTTCGTAAGCCGTCTAAGTAATCCGACACATTTTCAGCTCGCTCAGCGTGTTTGCTTCGAAATCGTCCTTCCAATTTAAAGGGTGGCTCATTTTCTTTCCGTTTTCCCGACCGACAAGAACAGAGAACGACGACACCGGCGCGGCTCCAATTTAGCCTCGGCGAGGCTGATCAGTAACAGCCATTCTGGAAATCCGAGAGTCTCGTTGAGCACGTCCCGGGGAAAGAGCGTGCCAGCCACGTCGAATCCCGGGGGAATCCGCGTTCGAAGGGGGCACCGGGTTCGAGCAGCCTCGACAGCCGGAAGCTCACAATTACCGGTGTTCTAACGTGCTTTAGTTCCATCGCGTTTCCAAGTGACAGCGTAATTTCGCCCCTGCGCTGCTCGTCCAGGGTGTGTCGTTTTGTGTTTGCGCAGGCCCATTCTAATGCTGATGGATCACACAAGTGCGCGTGCGAAGAACAAGACAACGGATAATAGCAGAAAGAAAAGACGGGCCGATGTTCGCCCTACAGCTCCTTCTTGGTCCACGTATGCTCAAAAATTTATTTTTGATGTCTCTGCTGTTGCCTATATATAATGGTGTACCGCATACATGCTTCGCTGCGTTGAAACAAGCCTTGTCCTTGTTACTTGAAATATTTGGCAACTTTGCTGCATATCGTGCTCATTAACAACTAGCAGCCACTTCACAAGATCAATCGTGTTCGTCCTCATGTACGTCGGCGGTCTCTTGCATGAAACAGGCTCTCACAAATGATGTCAAACTGAAATACGATATTTATATTGTCCGTTCTTTCTTTTTTGGGGGGGATTCTTTCCTTGAGATGCTGCTCTCCCGTCAGCTCGAGCGGCATTTCTCCAAAACATTTTGGCAGGAAAGGCACACGCAAATGGAGTATTCGGCCAAGGAGCGCAATATAGCTGTACTTTCGCAGACCGTTCGTATAACTAAACTGTACTCTGATCAATGCCACGGCGAGTTATTCGCAGCAAACAATGCCTGGGAATAAAACAGAGCGCCTAGCTTCCGATATTTACGGCGCACCTCTCTTCGCCACTTGAGAGACGAACACGGCGCCGCAAACAAGGCCCGGCGCGTCGCCCGCATAAATCACAAAGGAATCTTCCTGGAGCTATTCATCATTACAGAAGATGAGCCAACGCAGGCACATGGAAGGTGGCACACTGGCCGAGCCTCTCCCTAATAAGTGTTGATAAGCATAGAAGCCAGTCGAGGATCAATGGCGCCAGAGGTTACACTAATATCCCGCACACCGGTTAACGCGCACGGGATCCCTTGACGCAAGAGAAGGGTCCTTCATCGATTGCACTTAGCTGGCGGCGTGCTGCGAAGCACCCCAGCGCAGCTTTCATTGATTTCGAGTTCCACAGATGGGAAAGCCGGGAGGAGGTGTTGATTACGCGAGAGGTGAACTTCGTCCATCTTGCCGCAGCGTCGGCGCGCTCCTCCTCCTCGTGCTGCTGCTGCAACGTGGCTTCCCTTTTCGAGGCGCCCGCGATTCCTCCACCTTCTAGACGGCCTCTTAGATGATTGGTTCCCTGGCTGTTGTTATGGCGCGGCCTTTGTGATATACGTGCCCTCGCCCGAGGGGTGGTGACTCAAGCCTGCTCCGCAGGTCTTTTCAGCATCCCTCATCGCTCGCTGCCACTCCGGCTGAATCCCATGCGGCAGCGGGCTTATTGCTAGTTTCGCTCGACCGCGTGTGTGCCTTCGTCCCAGTTTCGTGCCGACACGTTGCGCTTCGTTGTCCGTGCCCTAACTGTAGCGTTGCATTGTCTGTATGCCAAGCGTTCGTGGCACTTTCAGCATGCAGGTTCGCTTGACGTGCTTTCTCGTAACGCATTAAGGGAAGAAGGAAACGGGTGTTTCGTGGTGTCTATCGTTCTCCAAGGCGGAAACGAAACTGTTGAGTAATGTCATGAAACAGATCTGAAGTTTCATTCTGCCAGATCGCATGCACACATTTCAGGTCATGGAATGCATCTCCGGTGACACAAACCAAACTATAACCTTTTTCTAATATTGCTGGAAGAAATCAACTATGTCCTAACCCTTTCTCACCCCTCAATCTGTGCGTGAAACTGCGGTCAGTTATGCACTACTAATATATACGATATTACCTCTCTTTTCCTTTTTGTAACCCGCATTGATAATGATAATAACGCATTCATGGAATATCGAAGTCGTTGGAATGACCAAGGTTGTGAACGTTTGAGAAACAGGCACTCAGTGATCCGATCAAGGGGGCGTCGGATTTATTATTATCCATTTTATTTTCAGTACTTTTCGCATCACCCCCCCCCCCCCCCCTCCACCCTAGAGTGGCTTATTTCAGCAATACCGCCAGCGCGACTGTGACCCTCCCGATGACGAAGGCCAGGAAGAAGGGAAAATGAAACGGAACGTGTAAAATACGGCCGCTGTGCTCCCGACGCGGGATTAAACTTAAGCCTCGTCAAGTAGCTCTTTTCATACGGGCGTGCTCCACGACATCCCGCGAACTATTTTTGCCACTGGAGAATCGAGAAGGAAGTGTCTCGAATGCGCATAGTTATGCCGCGCGGACAAGACCCGAGAGACGACGACAGAAGGCCGGAACAAAGGCCGCTACAAGTGGCGCAAGTGTCGTTCGTTGGATGTATACAAGGCGCCCGAAAAGAAACGGTCGTTTTTTTTTTTTTTTTTTTTTTTTTGCGAAGCTATAACCCGACTTGAGGACTGCTTTCTTCGGGCGTTTCAATGCTCTCCCCCGTTCTTCAGCCGGTTAAGCAGGTGAACATTGGCGTTTGTTACGCGTTTAGCTTTTCAAATAAACTCTTTTGAGGAGAACACCAACTTAGCAGTTTACCGCAGCAACAAGGCCGGTACACTGTACGCGAAATGATTTCAAGCGATAAGGGGAAAAAGGTGCACACCTTCTCGTAATAAAAACTGAAAGCAGACATTGAATTTGCGTGAATCGGTGATGTTGATGCCTTTTTCGATATGTATACTTGCACAAGTACGACTGATTCATTCGGCGTGTCATTAGGAAGGCAACTGCAGAAGCACCCAGACGCTTCACTCTAAGTGCGTTGATATTGGGTTGGCAGACGTGCTTAGAACAGTCACTACCGATTGGCAGTGTATGCCAAAGTCTTCTGGAGAAACGTCGCTATTAGCTATATGCAGCAAGAAACCTCTGAAAGACGAGTAACGTATTAAATTAGGAACCATAATCACGTACTCGACATCACTGCGATTATAATTACACGTCGGCGGTGATGCATTCGAGCCGGGCTAAACGGAAAACGTAACAGCGTGACGCCGCAAGTGACGCTCCACTGGCGGAGAGTTCTAGTGCAAGCGGGGTTCCGATATCGTTTACCGCCTGCAGCAGCTCCCGAGCCGGTGCGAGCGGGTAAGTGCGTCCGTTGCGCGCACGCAGCCCTGCCGGCCGGCGGAAGCTGCGCCAGGCGCCGCCACCGCCGAGGCGCTTGCGTGATTCAGGCGTATCAATGCGTGTGCCTGTGTACAATGTGGGCGCTACATTTCGTGCTTTCAGTAGCCGGCCGGCCAAGCCGCGAACCCACAGGCTGTTTGACGTATGAACACGTATTTCCTTTCAGGCCAATTTGGGAGAGGGGAAAGTCAAGGTGGGGCGCAATGTTTGCCGCATTTTCCTCCTTTGAGACGGCTGCCTGCCTGCGTTCTTTTTTTTTTTTCCGGATACACTTTATTTTAACTGAGCCAACGATACCCCGTAATTTTCCAAGCTGTGAACTCAACTGGAAACCGGACGACCAAGAGGCACGCGAATTTCGTGTTTGTCATTAGGAAAGAGCAAAGCAAAAAACGAACAAGTAAATAGATGTAGAAAAAAAAATCCCCCCTCCCCCTCCCTCCCTCGGGTAAGCTCTCTGAACAGGCGCTAGTTGCCGCCAGCTCCGACCGTCACACCTCTACACGAGTGGCACGAATGCAGCGTGCCGACTTGCGTCGCTGCGTTTCGTGAAGTTGAATGGCGTTCAGCGTGCGCGCACGTCTGCCTACACATGCGTCACTTCCTCGTGCAGCCCCGGACCGGTTTCATGCAAACAGCGCGAAGAGGCAAGGACGACACGCTCCCGGAGAAACAGAGGGCCCTGTACAATGAAAGCAACCGGCGAGCAGGGAAAGGTGCCGCCATATTCCGCACTTTTTGCTGCTCAGTTCCCAAGGCGACGGGCCACATTCGAGGCGAAGCCGTTGTATAGGCTGCAGTAGAAGTGGCGAGGAATCCACGGTATGCTGCGAGATGACTGCCTTCGCCGGTTTGAGAAAGCTGCTTCGCCGAACTGAAGAATGCCTTTCGACGATTGAATGCTCTGTGTATTTTCTTTTTTTTCGTTGCTTCCCCTGAACATTCTACCGGGCAAAAAGTGTTATGCAAGGATGAACGACAATGCTCTTTCAGCCCTCAATAGAAACCAGAGCACTGAGACGCCTCTGCCTGCCATAAGCATTTTGATCTCAACTTTGTTATACCCTGCCTTGCTTCGCTCATCCAAGATTGCTAACCGGTACCAGCGTCGTTCACTCCCTTGCATTGTTCCAGCTCTCCCTTTTTCTATTTGACCATCAACAAAACGGTGGCCGCCCTCACCTCACGTGTAAGCCCTTCGCGCTAAGAGAAAACTGCAAAAGATGCACTCACACGGAACAGTGCAAGCTTTACATTGCCAGGCTGTCGACTTCATGGAAACAGCATCAACCCTCGCATCAAAGTGTCACAGCTTTGTTTCGTTTTCGTAGCAGCTGATGTTTATTGGCTAGCGTTCAGATCCAAATACATATAGTCTAGACTTCCTATATTCCTTCATGAACACACGTGCCAGATCTAGTGCACACTCTATACAGAGTCACTAGGACTTGAAGAAACATGTCGTGTTCGACGAATCGCAGCAAATGTGCACCTATGAATGGCACTCGTTGTAGAGCAACAGTTTGTACATCCTACGTGGTCCGCGTCTAAAACAGCAAAAAGATACGCACTATCGCGTGCTTTCCCCATATATATTGTGGGTGAACAAGAAAAAAAAACATTCACTGAACGTCCAAACACGCTGGCTTCGCATGATGCACTGCAATTACGACAGTCCATGGCGTAGCTTACTAGCGGCGGCTCACTTTCACAAGGCAAGTACTTACCCATTTGCGAAAGGGTAACCGGCGATGGCAGCCGAGTCGTACGGGTAGTACATGGACGCAGCGTACGGGAGGTTTCGCCAGGCTTCCAGATTCTCCTTCAGGTCAAAACCGTTTGCCTGCGAGAAATGGGCTGTTTGAGTTTGTGTCATTAATTCATTACCTGCCACAGTGTGCTGAATATCACTCAAGCGCACCACCATTTCAGCGAGGGATATGTGCAGTTATTACGGAACTGAACCTGCCGGTGTATGGGGTTTAATATTAACACCAGGACAGTAACGTCCAAAAACCACAATACGATCATGAGAGACGCTGTAGTGAAGAGCTCCAGAAATTTCGACCATCTGGAGTGATTTAACGTGCCCCCCCCCCCCCCCTCCCCTAAATCTAAGTACACGGGCGTGAAACATTTCCGCCTCCATCAATAATGCAGCCGCCACAGCCGCGATTCCGTCCCGCAATCTTCGGGTTAGCAGTCTATAGACCGCCGCGGTGGGGCGATGCATGGAGTAGAAATAAATGCAACTTCATCATCGGTGTGACATACGCTGAAAGTTTTCTCTGAGTTAATTTGTGTTGTAATTGTTAAACGGGCCAACAAAAAGGTGTTCATGCAAAGCATGCGTTCGTTGTCACTTAGTGCGCCTTTGATCGGAGCGAGCATGCCAATGAAGTGATGCCAAAAAACTAACAATCCCGCCTCGTAGCGTATGGAGTGCTGCGCTTGCGCCAAACGGTTCTCTCATCTACATCAATCAGCTTGCTAATGATCGAGCAACTTTTACTTTCTCATTAAGCACACACCGAGAACCAGCGAACTCTTCCAATGTCCACTCACTCAGAAGAGAATGCACAAGGCCTCTCCTTTGCTTCACTTGTGTTTTTCCTTATGACCACACACATCCTTGGAGCTGGATCGGTGTAAGTTTTCCAAGCATGCATGTGCAGCGCTGGCGACCTGCCACTTTGCAGCCTTTCTCCTTCTCTCCGCGTCGCTTTACTGGGACTGAACGACGGCATTATGAACGTCCGTTCCCTTCTACACGACAACCTTCATTGTTTAGGATGACGTTAATATGTTTTTACATGCACGTGTTGCGGATGAATTGAGCGCGGAGCTGTTCTTACAAGATTACCATTCAGTGTGCTATGAAGGCGATGTTATTGTTGATGGTGAAGGAACAAAATATCCGAATGCCACTGAAAAGATCACCGCTAAACGGAACATCGTTACAACAATTTTAAAGTATTACTTTGTTTTTCGCTTTCTTGTGTAGTCTTAAAAATTGTTTGTTTGTTTGTTTCTTGAGTTTTCACAGCTTTTGACACACAATGTTCGATATTTTTGTCTAATCTCATGAGCACATCTGCCAAATACCCATTCTGCGTCAAGCCCCATTTTTAATAGGAAACAATACTAAAAGCCTCACGCTGAAAATCAGCAGCGGTGACTTTCAGCAAACCAGGCTGTTGACAAGTCCGAAACGTTTCCTTTTTTTTCACCATTCTTCAACGAGTGTATCAATGCAAACAATACCAAGCGAAGCATCTTTCAATGCAGTAAAACTTTCGCTGAAAAGTTCACGGGTGTGCTCTAATGCAGCGCTGTGCATTCGAGTACGCTCCCTCGTAGCCTATAACAACCGGACATTGTTCGAGGTTGAGGGGAATAAGTGCTGAAAAAGACATTCGCCTCCTGCTAGGCGTCTGTGCGCCAACAGCCACGGCGGTCCTTTGTTTTTCTTTATTCATTCCATCTTCACGCCGCGTCCCTGCTGGTCGCCGTTGCCCGGCTCCTCATTGGCATTCCAAAAGTGCATCCAGGGAGCGGACAAATGAGCAACGAGGCTTCCGTTCGAAAAGCCCGGCAAGTAAGAAAAAGAGGAAAAGCCCTGAAGAGTGGCGGCGCTGCAGAACTCCCCGCGAGAACAACCAAAGGCGACAACCAGACAGCGCACTTGGGCTGCTGCGGGAAACAGAGAAAAGGGGCTCCTTTCGCATACAAATCAGCATTGAAAGTTTAAATCGCAAAAACTAATGCACTGCTTCTGCGAGAAATGCCAACAATCGGAAAGCCAAGTGGGCCTTGTGCTCGAACACGTATTGAGAGAAAAAAAATTACACAAAGCACACGTTGTCCGCGAAAGAGAAAGTCGCCAGAAAAGTTGAGTAATGACCAGGGAACACTGGTAGCGACGGCATGACTTGACTGGTTCGCGGAATTTCTCGTCGGTTAGAGGCCCGCCCTTTAGAATTTTCGTTAATTATTTATGAGTATATGCCAGCGCGTAATCCTCTATTCATAACCGGTGCTTTAGGACATTTCGAAAGCGTTTACAGATCGTGAGGCAGAAGATCATAACTACAAGTCACTAGTACAGAATTGGCGACAAAATCACACCATAACTCGCTGATCACACCATCAACAGCACTGTATACGAAGAAAAGCAGGGGCCTAGCAAAAATTCTTTTTCGGAGGTGGGGGGCAGGGGATTTCCACCATATATACTTTATGTCTGTTCGTGCGTTTGTATGTGTGTGTGTGTATACGCAAGCAAAATTGATTTTTTTTTTTGGGGGGGGGGGGGGCGTCAAACCGCCTTTGACTACGCCCCTGGAGAAAAGCAATGTACGGAGACTTTGACACGCCAGTTACGTATACATTACGCAAGAATCACTGCGCAGAGCAGGCGGCAAGCAGGACGAAGAAGGGGGCCTCTGCTTCAGTGCTCACCGCAGGTTAAGTAGGTTTGACACTTCCAGGAGCGGAAGCTCACTTCTGCGGTTTGCTGCTGCTTGCGCACCTCGCCACTGCACCCGCTGCTTATGAAGTCCTCGGAGAGTGCGAGTCTGGAGGGCGACGACGCCCGAGAGGCAAACCGAGCGGCCCCTATCTCGCACGCCGCTGGGCCATGGCATCCGCCGGCGTGACCATTGTTCAGAGCGGTCATTGTGCGGCCTTCTCGTCAGCGCGTCTCTGAGGAGAAGTGGCCGCTGCGAGAAAACATGTCGCGCACACGTAACGGGTCGATCGGGCGGCTTGGTTGTGGGTGGCGATTAAAATCACAGTTCGCGGACTGCGCACAAAGAAAGGCCTTCCAGGCGGAATCGGCGACGCGCTGCCGCCGCGTGCAGTCGCCCTTGCGTGAACAGGCGCCATAACCCAGCGCGGCGTGTGCCTCTCAAGGCTCCCCGCCGAAGGCTTGTTCGCCGATAGATGCCGCGCCGCTTACATTTCCCGAATGCAAAAACGGCTTCCTATGGCGTGGCGACTGTATATACGATGTCACTGCGGGCACAGCCGCACGCTGGTGGAGAGACGTGCAACCCCTGCTTTCCGCCCCTTCCCTCTTCTCTGGCATTCACGTTTGTTTCTGTTCAGAAGATTTTTGGCTTCTTGCAGCTTCCACCACCTTCTTGCCATTCCGCGAACCGGTCACTTCCGATTAGTGCTGTCTGGCACGTCTAGCTCACATTTCAGCATAAACAAGCAGGGACAGTAAGAGGGTTCAATGTAACAAACGCGACTCGGTGCAGCAAGAAACCACGCAAACTCTGTCCGCACGCATACGTGATTATTGGCTGCTCACTTTTATTGCCCGGTTGTCCCCAGTCGAAGCCGTTTTGTGGATCTCTCCGCGTATTGCCGACCAGCTGAACAGGCGTGACGGTGTTAGCATGCATACGGCTCGTTAAAGCGGGCGCGATAAAATGCAAATACTTTGTTTGTAACCAGCTGCAACACTGCGTAGTTGGTTAATGGCGGCCAACAGGTGAAGGAGAGGAGGAACGCGTTGAGCAGACGCTCAACGAGTAGCGTTTATCTTTTACTTATTTGGGCGACGTGCATGAACGTATCTGAGCAGCGACGGTTGCTGCATACCAACTCAAACTGCCCCTCCAGATCGAGCAGCTCAACAGAGAACGCAACCGATTTAGACCCTCCTTGGAAGGCTTAGTAGGTTTGACAAAGCCCACTTGTGCATAGATGCGAGAATGTTGCGAGCGGGCAACTTTCTGAAGCGTCGCTCTATTTGGGATTCCCCCTCTGCTCCCACGATTCCCCCTCTTGCGCGAGGAAGGAGTACAAGACGGCCCCCGTGCAGCGGCGCCGCTCCTGACGCCGACTGTATAAAACGTCTCCTCGCTCGAGGCGTGGGATGGCCGATTCTGGCAGCTACGCCAACTCTAGCCGTCGGTGTAGGCCAAGCGAGTGCTAGAATGTCTTATCTCCGTTGAACGACATCTTCATTACAATCGCGCGAACAGGGGCGGTGAGTGCGCCGACGCACGGAGAAAACAAGCAAACCAACGGGCAAGTGATATATTCCGAATGTAGGCCAGATAGTCCGCAATCTGGCGCCCTAAAGGGCTCCGTAAGTCTTTTTCATCTAGAGCGCGCCATAAAGCATAAATCTCGCGCTATCGGACGCGCTACCGCGCTTTGGCCGCGTGCTACCCCGGAGAGGCTGCACTGCGCGCCTCCTCCTGCCGGCCGCAGCCCTTTCTCGCGCTCGCGGTGGCCCCCCTGCCGCCTGGAGTTGCTGTGTCATCACGTGCTCGTCAAAGCAAACGCCAAGAAAACGGTCGCTGCAGTAAAACAAATGAGCGTCGGTGCTGGCGACGGCCGCCGAGGCCGCTTTGTACATACCTGGCCATCCGTCCTCTTCGGCAAGGGGGGGACTTGCCGATGGGCCGATAGTCTCTTTCCCCTTCTCAAAGTTCTCTGCAGAGTGCCATGGCTCTTATCTGCGCGAGCCCATAGCCAAAGAGCCTCCTCCTGGGCAGTGTGGAAACAAGCGGTCGCCGAGACCTGGTCCGGTCTTTTTGACGCGCCTATCGGGGCTTCGCATCGGCTACCCAGCTCTCGCTCCGTCTCTTCGCAGGCCATAACAAGGCGCATTGCCATTGGTGCATTCCGATCACGTGACCAACCTGGCGACAGGAATACTGGCGGCTGCATTGTTTTATAGCGTCTGCGAGGTGATTTACGAGCGTTTACTCCATCCGGACGCTGCTTCTCCTTCCTGTTGCTCTCAGCTCCACGACTTCTCCCCACTCGTTTTACGTCTTTTCGCATGTCGCAGTTATGATTTCACTTACGGTGGAGCCGAGG